TTTTTTTTTTTTTTGTCTAGTGGTGGATTAATACGGTGTCAGCCAATCAGTTAGCTTAAATTTGAGTTTATGTAGCAATGAAGCAGTATAGGTACTAGAAATAATGTTCTTACGAACAAAACAGTAAGTAAAATATGTTTGAGGCATGATTTATTTGTGAAGTTAGCTTTATTATTAGTTAGTGTAATTGTAGTTAAATAACCTGTAAGTGGATAAATAAAAGTATTTTCTCATCATTCATTGGACTGGACTTTGCAAAAGGAATATTTAAAAAAGAACGGCCTCACCCAAAAATAGACGCCGTTACAATTATATATACATATTATATTTTGCATGAAACGAAGGTTTTCTTTTAGACTGTTAGCAACTTCTTTTTCAAATTTAGGAAGCATAGCAGTTTGTAACTTTTCTTTCAGCACCGATGAACTGTAAAGAAATTGTTCTTTATTTTTTGTTCTCACTTAAAACAAATTTACAGGTTAAAGTTTTAGTAAAATTCCTTTTAATAACAAAGTTTTGTCAGGGTCAAGCTAGGGATCCAAGAAGTGAACGTAACCGTTGTGATGTGAGTGTTTTTGCGAGCTTATATCATTCTAACAAACACTGAGAAGAAAATTCAAAAGGATAACTGAGCTATTCCTCTCTGGTTTCTGATTACATTTCTCCGTATAGTAAGAACGGCCTCTTGCTGCTGTACGTACCCAGTCTTATTGTCACTGGCAATTTTTGGCTGTTGAACCTAATTATATTGGTATTCGTGAATGCCTTTGTTGGTTAAGATACTTTTTGTTATCTGTTCTAGCCTATCTGAAAGTGAAAAATCAGTATTAGTATTGTGCATGGGTAGCCTAATTCACCACAACTGGAACAAGTAAGGTCACAGAAGCCCATCTGTTCCATCAAAGTACTCTTCAACCTTAACAAAAATAAACCCAAAACTACGGAAGTATAAACTTTTACGTACTAATATATTTATATTTATATTACTCAAATATGATAAACCAAATAGATACCGAAAATATCTTAAAACAATTTTTGTTTTTTCATTTGTTCCATCCTGTTAAGTTATAGTTTTTCTTAATTTTCACTTCTTTAGGAGAATTCTAACTTATCAAGGCGATGTGCTGTCAGGAAAAATGTCTACAGTTAAAATTACAGTGATAGCCAATGAAGAAAAACTGTGATTCATGTCACTTCAAATGCGTTAGCTTAATCGCATAAAAGATATCTTATTCTTCTGGTAGCTTAGTAGGCTTTTAAACAAATAGAAAAAATATGTGTTATGACATCAAAGTGAAACAAAGCTAGGTGTCTAGATTTTCCGAAACATGAAGTCTACATTAGAAGGACAGGATAGGTCGGTATATAACGTGACTTGTTAGGCATTTTGAAGTCTTTGTGATTTTCAACTATTATTTAGAAATGGTATAACAATTTTTTTATCTTTTGAAATGTTAATAAATATTAATGTAACGCTTTCTGTAATATAAGTAAATACTGTTTGATAAACAGTCAATATTAATTTGAAATTGAGACAACAAATTGAAGTTCAATCAATTTTTCCTTAACTACCATCTTTCTGTGATCGAGTGAATCAAAGAACAGTTTACCCACAATGAAAAATATAATCACATTTGTTCGGAGAGTAGAAAAACGAACAAGAGATTCTGTTAACAGGTGACAACCCTTGAAATAATCTAAAGAATTTATTACTCGGAAATGATTCCAGGGAATCCCCACATTGCTAGACCTTTTTGCCCCTAAAATGATAAGCTGATGTGTCAGCAGGGTTGTTTTTCTCATCCTTGGATTCGTTGTCTTGGTTTGCGATGTGTGTGTGCGGAATACAGATACTGTTAACAAAGGCATTATTCGCCTAAGTTGCCTAAGTCATTTGTAGTCTTTTATATTACTGAATATAGAATTAATGACAAAGGTTAATATTAATTCAGGTAGAAGGATTTATAATGTTAAGCTATCTTTCGAAGCTACACTGGGCTAACCGTCACTAATTTTGAAGCCTGATAGATTAGAGGGAAGACAACTAATCAACTGCAACCACTGTCAACATTTGGATTATACATTAATCGAATAGTGGGACTTGACAGTCATTATTATAACGCACCAACGACCCTAAAGTGCAGAGTGTGATTTTATTTTTTGCTTTGCTATTCAAGTGGTTATATTACTGCTCTAAACTCTTTTCCATAATATGATGTTAATTTTCTCCTAAGAATGGTTGAAATTTGGATATTATAAGAGTCTAAGGTTTCTTACTTACAAAATAAATTTTATAAATGTTATAAAATGATAAAATAATCTTAAGTAAGAACCAATACCAATATAAGAAAATTGTTTTGAATATTCCTTCTCCAACAATTACCTGTAAATAATGGGTCATTTACTTCTTCATTACTGGGGTATTCCATAAGCTTGTTTGTTTGTAGTTAAGCACAAAGCTACACAATGGGTTATCTGCGCTCTGCCCACCACGGGTATCGAAACCCGGTTTCTAGCGTTGTAAGTCCGCAGACATGCCGCTGTGCCACTGGGGGGGGGGGGGGCTTTCAATAAGCAATATATTCATCACGGGGAAATGTTCTAAATATTTTTGTACCAGTTCTCATCATATTTCTTTGGTGGATTTTGATGAGGCAACTGAAAAATATTTTTCACCGAGAAGACACCTTGTAATTCATTATCATACCAGTGCTTCCGTAAATCTCTTTTAATTTTGTTTGTTTGTTTGTTATTAAGCACAAAGCTACACAAAGGGCTATCTGTACTCTGCCCACCACGGGTATCGAAACCCGGTTTTCTAGCGGTGTAAGTCCGCAGACATGCCGCTGTACCACTAAGGGGGGGGATAAATAGATATACATTTTTGAGATGCTATTACAAAAATATGTTACATGGAAGTGAATTACAGTACATTTTGGCATTGTTTATAATTCGATAATTCTTGCCATGTGTTTCTTTTACAGAACAGGGATTTTTTTTGTATTTCCTTTTGTCCTAATTTCAAGTGCGTTTGCCTATATATTCTTATTTTTGCATAATACTTTCGAACAAAATTAGCTTACTTGGTTTTTATTAACGTTATCAAACATTCATCATTTATACATTTTCCTGTATAAAATAGTTGTATCTTTATTTGTCTTCCTCTAAATAATAATTTAAGTAAATTTGATCAGAAAAATTACAAATATACAACGTTGGTGATCAACATTTTTTTGCCTGTCAGAAATGCATTATATCTTAGAGCCAACGAAGAAATACAAAATGTTGAAACGAATATTCCTTTCGGGGAAGATATAACATTTCCTGTCTCAGTCAGATATCAAGGAAGATTGAAAAATAGAATGGAACAGATGTTTTGTAGGAGAATAAATTCAAATGTCGACTTCTATTTCATCTTGTAAATGAAAGAATGAAACGTTTAGTTATTCCTCACATTTCCCTACAAACGTTTATCATTCTTTCAAGCAAACCTGTTAAAGGGGTGGACTAGCATATAACCGCAAACTGTTCTTTAATTTTTGTTTTGTTTTGAGGTAGTATTCGAACTAAATTATTTCGAAATCTCATTATACATGTTTTTGTGTGTTTAGATAGGCTGTAACTAGCTGATTATTCTAAAATTCACTTGATTTTACGGATTCGTTTTGGAGCTCGGTAACGAAAACCAATTTTTATTTTGAAGTTTTCATGCATAGTCTTCGTTAGGTTGAGATTAAAACTTTTCGTTCAAAATACGATGCACTACCTTAGTTTAGTTTTAATTTATGCTTTGATTCATCAAAGACCAAATTTTGATTCAAGTTACTGCATGTATGTCATCAAAAAACTTACTCGTAAACCTTGCAGCTTTTCTTAACGAATCGATACTGACTTTATGGTAGTATCTTATTAATCAGTAATCCGAACAACAGTTCTCTCTATAAGGTTGACTCTGACTTCAGTTATTGAATAGAAATTTATTATCATATTATATGTATTTATGTGCATGTTACTGTTTCTAATCAGTGTTTGCTGCAATAACATAACGTTTTTATATTTACTGTCCAACTTCTCCACGTGACCCGTAGTACAATGTACTACATTAATAATAAACTTCCCCACTTGTATTTAGGGTAATGATACTAACTATACTTCCAGATAGTACCTCGTATTGTAACACCACATGGGATGGAGTTTCATGCTGGCCTACATCGCCAGGTGGCGCAATGGTTGAAATTTCTTGTTTTGGAGAGCTTCACGGAGTTCGTTATGACACAAGTCGTAAGTACATAAGTCAGGGCCATTTAAACTGTTATTTAGAGGACGATTTTTCCTCATAAGTCGTAAGTACATAAGTCAGGGCCATTTAAACTGTTATTTAGAGGACGATTTTTCCTGATAAGTCGTAAGTACATAAGTCAGGGCCATTTAAACTGTTATTTAGGGGACGATTTTTCCTCATAATTGTCCCATAACTGGCTAAAAATTAAATTATATAAACTAATAATTGAAAGTAAAGGAGAATGTATAACAAACAACATGTCAACCACATTACGTCTGTTGTATCCAGGGCGGACAAGACTTTTCGCACAGTACCAGAGCTTATCAGTTCGGTTGGGAAAGTGACAGACACAGTAATGGTTGAGACGCTATTAATGTTATCAAGTTACGCGAACAACAACTGCAATAGTATGAAACAGATGGAGTTGGTGAAGTATAATTTCGATCAAATTTGCTTAAGTCATTTACAATTCAGAATTAGGGTAAAGATTAACAATACATTATTATTTATTATTCAACGTTCATTATTTAATTATTTATTTTTGCTTTTTTTGAATAACTTTACTCCTCATTCAGAAGAAGTGGCGAACCAATAATTAGTGTTCTTCTTCCTGAGTGAGTCAAATAACCACAGCATAATTTTCAAAGAAATATATATATATGTATACATAAAATTTAAAAACTATGAGATGTTGTATTTATGTAAATGCACAAAGAAAAAAGAGTCACTGTCTAATATAGCTATAAGGCCCTTCAGACATGTCAAAGTGTTCAGAACTATGCGTTTACACCTTAGTGAGGGTTTAGCGAATCATACGATGCTATAACCCTGGATTAAAATCTTGAAAGACGTAGTTATTCAGCTATTTTTGCAGACGTAGCTATTCAACTCTCAATCTCACTTATAGTAAGAAAATTCTAAAAGGATGAAAAAAAAAGGTTCTTAGAAAAGAAAATGTGGATTTGGAATGAACTGTTCTTAAAAAAAAGAATGGCTTGCATGTATGAACTGTATTGTCCCATAACAACTCCAGTTTTTTGCCGCTTAACTTCTCCTGAAAGTTATTCTTTTTATTTAATTTATAGCTTTGATTCGTTCAGCAGAAGAAAAGAGTACTGCTATTTTCTCATCGCCCGTCGTTATCTATTCTATTTAATTATAACTTCTCATGCAATTTTACTCAGCATGATATTGTTGCTTGGATAAAATGAGATCCCAGTTTAATATACGTTTGAGTAACCGAAGACCACAAAGTATAAAAATAAAGAAAACTTTTTAAGATGAAGTGAGAATAAAACAACCTTCACGTGCTATTCAAAAAAACTTGTTAATGATTCCTGTACATAAGAACCTATCCTATATAAACACTAAAATATAATCATGTTAACACACATACACATATAAATGATTAACATATTTCACAACATATATGTAAGTGTTAGAAAACAATGAAAACAATAAGAGTTAATCAAAGAAAAATGTGTGTTATTTTAAACCTTACTTTGGTGGTAGATATAAAAGTAATATAATTCATGTTATATTAGTAAATAATAGTGTACAATTCGTTAAAACAGCTATCTACAAAAATACCTTTCCAGTAGAACCTAATTATATGTATTAAAAGTAAATGTAGATTTACTGCTCCGACGCTCAGCTAGCGTGACAGACTTAGGTTAAGCCTAAATCATTATACTAAACACTAGTGCAATTACTGTTCATTTAAAACTCTTGGTATATCGTGAGAGATATATTAAATATAAAAATAATTCCAATACATTCTTTCTTTGAATGTTGTAAAGTTTATATTCATATCAAGATTATTCATAAGCAATTATAAGAAACAATGAATACAATAAATAAAAAATTTGTAGATAATGACGACTTATGATGCTCGGCTTATTTAGTAATTGTAGATATTTTTACTATTTTTGATATGTTGTTCATCTGTATAACTTAATTTAAAATAAAATGTAAACCATGACTGTTATGAATTTAAAGTTCCAACGTCGTGGTTTATTCAATATTTGCCCTTCCGACACTGTTTGGCCTGGGTGGCTAGGGCGATCAATTCTCTGAGTCGCATGATCAAAACCCGTCGCCGAGCATGCTCATGTTATAATGTGACGATCAGTTCCACAGTCGTTGGTAAAGAATATCCCAAGAGTTAGCGGTGGGTGGATTTGGCTAATTCCCCTTCCTCTTGTCTATCATTTCAAAATTAGGGGCGGCTAGCACAGATAGCCCTCGAATAGCTTTGCCCAAAAATTCAACGATAAACCGATACTGTAATTTTGTGAATGATTTAATATTTTTTGTGGCAACAGTAGCTAGTCTTTCAATTTTCCATCACTTATTTAATTGTTGTTGCTAATATTGGCTATTTTCTGGGTGTGGCGACACTTATTTAATGTTTTTTTTTACCGGTAGTAGCTCTATCTGGGTGTGGCGACAGTTAATGGATTTTGTTAGTGATAGCTACTATCTAAGTATGGCGACAGTTATTCAATGGTTTTTGCCGATAGTAGCTACTATCTGGGTGTGGCGACACTTAATGATTTTTGCTGACAATAAGTACTGTCAGGGTGTGGCAACACTTGTTTGATGGAATTAATGCGTTATTTAACGTTTTTTGTTTTTTATGCAGCACTGAATACTCTCTGTATATGGCGACACACCAATTTAATATTGTTGGGTTTTTTAGAGCTAGCAACTTTGTGATACCAAACAGGAAATAGGATTGGGAGGTTGCTATGGGTAGAAGAGAGAATGTCGCGGATAGGATCCTTCATCGCTTTTGAGATATACTGTCACTATAAAAAGTTTTCTATTAATTTTCTTCGCACAACACATAGACAATAACTTTGTGATATCTCTCGGTGGAAGTACACATTCAGCGGTCACAATAATAGCCTTAGATCGATCCATCGCAGCTTTAGCTAAGCGGCTCTCAGTGTAAACCTTATATAGGACATGTAGATCGAGATAGGGTGGGAATCGTTCATTCAGAACAAACGCTTTTCGACTGCCCTTTACGCTTGATTCATCCATGACTTTTCTGGCAGCGAACCCTGGGATGAAAGCCGTCGACTTTCTACTGTGGGTTCTGATCAATCATCAACTTCATGTGAAAAAAACATAATGTAATAACAAAAAATGTTTTATTTAAAGCGTTGTTGAAAAGGAAGTTATGGAAGAGAAACATATTTTATACAAAAAATAATAATAAAAGAATGCGTAGCATTTACTTTGAAAGATTATGTGCAATATTTTTATTAACAAAAACCAAGTTGTTCTGTGACACATCAGAAAATATCGAAGGCCAGAAAAGACTAACATTAAAATCTACATATATAACTGTATGTTTATGTGTACTTTTTTATATGAAACGAAGAGAACTAGTTTAATATCATGAAACTTTCTGAGGACCTTGAAGACAGTGACTACATATGAATTGATTTATGAAACTGCTAAACTGTTTCTATATTCACAGAAAATGCCAGCAGATTTTGCTACGAGAACGGCACGTGGGCTAGAAAATCAGATTATTCAAGATGTACACACCTACAAAGCGATCCAGATCTCTTAAAGGTAGATATTGTGATTAATATCATAACGAAGATATCACGAACATCCCCATCCCTTCCAAACTGCTTCTCTGCATAAGTCGAGTAAACACCAGTCAAACATCTGCAAGGCTTTATTATTATATTAGATTCATACACATTTTGTATATTGTTCCCATTTTACAAAAAAAAAATATTTAATTTCTTTACAAAAACAAAGAATATTTTAATTATAAACAACATGAAATTGACATCTCAAATAAAAACGAATGTTTCTCAGTTATCAAGGTAGATCATTAGGACTGGTAGTAATATTTAAAGTAAAACGTAATTCATTTGTTTATAATTTTTTTCATTTGCATTTTTTCATTACAATATATGTTTATATAAAACGTAACTCATAAATCTAATACCTTTTAATGCAAGATTTCGATAATTTTGTGATTTTGCTATGATCATGTGACCGTTCACTTTCTTTTATCTCTTTTCTCAAATGCATCTATTTAAATGGTATCTATAGAAACATCTATAGCAAGTTTTCTATTAATAGTTACAATAGTTTATATTTTTACCTGATGATGTATCTCGCCAGCTACGTAGTGGAACATCTCAAATAGGTTTTTGCTTTTTGTGCTTTGTCTTTTATTTTACGTTCCTAGGCATGGTGGAGTTGTGCGTTAATTGAGATACAGTATCTAATCATATCTTTAGGTTTTGTGGGATGTGAAAGAAGCCACTACTATTTACTTTGTTGGATATGGGATTTCTTTGGTCGCTCTCTTCGTCGCTTTGTGGATCTTTCTGTATTTTAAGTAAGTTTTAACATCTTCTTTTCTCGAATTGTTATTGAGATAGTTTCACTCGATCTCACATCACGTATGTAAAAAGCTTTTAATGAGATAAAATGATTTACATTACGTCAAAAGATTATTTGCTAAAGCTTTTACATGTAACTTTTAACAGCACATTTAGTAGATTTTAAAACTTCGACTAACTCCTTGTTTTATTAATCACTCACAAGGCAGAAATTAATTTCAGAAACGGACGAAGGGCTTTATTTTTAGTAAGATTTGCCACAACCACATCAAGTCAAGATGAAACGTACTTTCTTCCTTTAATGTATAGAAAAAAATCGTTGAATATGTCGATAAACATGAAAAGTTAAAGTAAACGGAAACTTTAAAAGTAAGAGGAATTAATATGAAAAACTGGAAAATATAGCACACAATCTAATAGGTATTAGCTTATGATAAAATATTATATAGGAAACTATCAAAATGTATTTTACTGCTAAAATCAGGTGAGATTAAATATACAAATATCAATGTAATAATACTATATTAACAACAACATTGGGTAATACACCTGAGTTAAAGTGATCAGATTTAAACCAATCAACAGGAAAAAAACAAAACGCCACCAGATGTTATCTAAATATAATGATTGGGAACATGAATATTTCGAGTACGTAAACGCTCACCAGGTGTCATATAGGTTTCAGTGATTGGGAAATCAGACTGATAACCTGAATGTTTAAAGTGCGTAGATTTTTTTTTTTGTTGTTGTTGTTTGTATTACTCAAGCCATTTAAAAAAAAATTAAATATTATTTTGATATTAAAAGGACATGTTGAAAATGCTTTTTGCACAAAAACACAAATAAAAAAAAAATAGACAACGATTTACTGATTGGGTCATAACAGGAATAGCGTATTGCTATTATAACAGGAATAGCGTATTGCTATTAGAGATTTGACGACACGGAACATTTCTAGTACGTACGCACGGAAATTGATTGTTTAACCAATTACTCAGTTTCACCATTAGTACACTTGTTTATATAAGAAAACCGTTTGAAACTGAGAATCGTTGTTTGTTCTGTTTCGGATATTCGCGCAAGGCTACTTAAGGGCTATCTGCACTAGCTGTCTCTAATTTTGAAGTGAGAGGCTAGAAGAAAGGCAGCTAATGAACAGCACCCACTGCCAACGTTTTGGATTCTTTAATCAAATAGTGTGTTTGACCATTACTCTAATAAGGCATCCACTGCCCCAACGTATGGAGTTAATTGTTCTTTCTTTGCGGTAACGGGACGTAAACCATGGAGCCTCATAGCCGCAGTCCAGCATGCTAATTTCTAGAACACGGCCCTAAAAATGAAATGAAACTTAAATATGTTGGCTAGTGGACGTTTCTGGGTTTTTTCCTGCCATTTCGCCTACTTAATATTTATTTTTTATCAGCCAAAACTAAAGTAACCCTAAAACGTTGAAAGGTTTGATAGAGATTAATCTTTATTCTCTTTTTATCCTGCCGACTTGACCTAATGCTGGTGTTCAGCAATAGGCAGTCAGTCATATATTTATTATTTATATCTTAATGTAAATACTAGCTTGCTTTTGACTCGCACGAGGTTATAAAGACTGTTAATATAGTAATAAGATATTTAGATAAAAATGAAAACGGATAAATAAAACACCGTGATTTACGTTTTAACTTTAAGAGATCGTTTTTCGGTTCTCCTCTACAACTTATGCAGGAAATAATAAGTTACGAAGTTTGGGGTTAAGTTTGAATAATTTACTGTATGGGGGTTTAATTTAAGGGGTTTCCGTGCGGGGATATACTTTAAGGATCTTGTTGCTCTTTTCCACCTTTACCTGGCATATTATCATTTACTTAGCTGTTTGTTTTCGGATATTCTAAGAAAGCTACTCAAGCGCTATTTGCGAGATCCATTCCTAATTTTGAACTGACATACTAGAAGGAAAGCCAACGTCAGTTTCTGGGCTACTGTTGTTTGACTGAACCATAGAATTTGACAGTCACACTTATGACGCACCTACGACTCCAAAGTGTAAAGCACTATTTTGTGTATGTGTTTGTGTTATGAAGACGTGAACAACTGACCCGCTGATATATTATGAATAATTTTCATAATATCAGCTGGTTCATAATTTCAGGACGTATAGATGTAACAGTTTGAAGTTACGCAAATAAAACGATGTTTTTTCTTAACTGAATTATTTGCGTGCTTTTTTTTTTACGTATTTTCCATCTATAAGATAATAAGTAATAATCTCGTTGATTTATTCGTTATTTATATACAACTAATTAAATAACTTGGATGAATCTTAGAGGTTATTCAAGGAAGAGTTGAACTTTGTAGTTCGTACTTTTCGTTAATAACTCCATTTTTCAAGCCGACACAAAATTTTATTGCAGACCTTCCAAGCATAATGCCAGCACATTATTTAAGTATTCTGAACTACAAAAAACAAAGTTTAAAAACATTTCTTCATCAGTTTGGGTTTCTGTAATATTGTCAAATACGATATAAGGATTTTTCATTTTATTGTAGAATAAAGAAATCCTAAGAAATGTTTCTGTAATATTTTTTTATGTTGTAAGATACAATTTTACAAATATTTGTCTAACATACATATATATATATATATATATTTAATTACAAAATAACATGGAAGAAATGTAAAGCACACTTTATATCAATATTTATACGCATATTTTCAAACTTCAACTAAACGTGCAGTGTTATTTTTAACATTTGATTTTCATATCAAAGTACGTAGTAAACTACATCATACTTATAAAGAACAGTTTTTGATCGAATCAATATTCCCTACACAACTGAACGTAGCAGATTTACAGAAAACTGCAGCGTTTACCTTAAGTACGTAATTTTTGAAACCGTGTAAGTTGAAACGTACGGAAATAACATTATGGGTGTTTTTATCATGTTTTTCAGAGATCTCAGGTGCTTAAGGAATACCATTCATACTCACCTAATCGTCACATACATCCTAATTGACCTAGTATGGATCATTACTGCATCATTGCAGATGGGCCCCTCACCGTCACTGATAAAAACAAAGGTAAGTTAGTATTTTACTTGCTATTATCCAATAAATAGAAATATTAATTCCCATGCTCTCTAAAAATTTTAACTTAAATAGTACACAAAAGCCAACACTTCAAGGACACCTACAATAAATATCATTTTAATGGATAGTCTAAATTATTTTAATTAGAATGACATTTTCACTTTAACTAGAAAATAAGCATTATAATTTTATTTATAAAGATCACTATAATTCAATCTAGTCAGTATTTTTAGAGAGTTTAATTGCTAGAATCAAATTATAATTCATTAGTAACACCGCGTGTTATAAAGGGAAAAATGCAATTAAATTTGGAATGGATGACTTTAATAATGTAATTAATGAAGACAAAAGTGGTTATTATTTTCAATTTGGTTTACTTACCCCGCTAAGGTATTAAAATAAACTGGAATAATCTTCTATGGGCGTTGTTTGTGTGTCTGCGTTTTACAACACTGTGTTACTTTCTCGTATATGTATTGTATAATTCGGCCTTCGTAGCAAGCAAAAGATGTTACAGACGACTAATGAAGTCTTTAGCACAAAGACCGAAACGCTGGCTATGTTATAACTCCAGAAAGTTCGACGCAAGCACATAATATATATGCTAAACTAGTGTCTAAAATAGCTACTTGACATTTTTGTGCTATATTATTTGAAATGCAAAATTGTGGGAAGTCTAATGAGAGTTTAAAATTCTGACAGTGGTTGAAATATTCCATTTTCATTTTAGCATTTGCTGTCAGACAGAAACATGAAATATATGGAGTGACATACAAGTAGAGAGCTTGTAAAACTAAAGTTTAACTACACTTGTGGGGCGATACACTTGATTGAAATTGGATGCTAACAAGCAAAAGACGCCCTCTACATGACAGGAAATTGACCTCATCGAAATTCGGCGCACTTCATCAGTTAGTAACAGAACATAAATAACGATAGACGACAATCGCTTTAACATGCCATCTCTCGTGCCAAACGTGTGGATGGGAAACCTTTATAAAAAATCGAAAGAACATATATTTCTCAAAGGATATGTAGAGATTAACTTTATTAGAACTTATGATTGTCATACTTGGAGCAATTTTATCTTAAAACTGCTTTAAAATATGGGTATCTAGGGGTTTCTCATGAAAAGATGAATCTTTTTATGGGCTGAGGTACTCGTTGTTCTAATTCGTACGAGTACAATGCTCTATTTTGAACTTAATTAGTTAGCCATTTCAAATAATAACACCACAGTTGTATAAAAGTTCCAATTTCATAACCTGAATCAGTAAGTTGTCGCTTATATATTTTAAATACCTTAGAAACAGAACCATATTCAAACATAAAAGAGACGCAATGCTAAGCATTACATCTCATGTTCAAGTATTAGTGCTGAAACAAAACCTAACGTGATAAACATTTTTAAAGATCCAAACAATGAAGTCACGGCATTTTCTCTCACCGCTTCATACAAAACGTTGTAACAAATTTAATAACCGGATGATACACAGCATAAAATGATTCATTACAAATTGTTACAAAGACTTGTTAACGAATTAAATCATCAGAATATACGACAACGTATGGTGATTGTCATAGCCTAGTACAAAACTTTTTTACCGTATTAACTCAATGAAATGAACAACGTTTAAAAAGTTTTTGTTGACATATTTTACCAATTAAAGACATCATATTTTGGGATCTTTTACAAATTAGTACAAAATGCCGTTTAAGCACTAAACCATTCAAAGTTATTAGAATATAATGACCCATTAATAGTATTAACCACCAATGAAAGTTTGTTTCTATGTTTATTGCTGTGTTTTTATAATCTTCACACAAAGCTGCACATGGAATCTGTGTACCTAGCTGTCCCTAATTTGTAAGATAGGCTAGAGGGAAGGCAACTAGCCAAAATAACCCACTGCCAACGTTAGGGCTACTACTCTTGTCTGATTGAATAGTAGGATTTAACTATCACTATTATAGCGCACTCACAGCCCAAAGAGAGAAGCGCGTTTTATTTTGCAGCAACGGGACGTGAACCATGAACCCTCGACGGTTTCCTAGTTCGGGAGGCTAGCAATCAAGCCGCACCCGGTCCACCAGTTAAAGTCATTGGAGTATGAGGATCCACCACAGCTTTGTATGGGAAAATCTGTTAACAATCTAAACCAGTACAAGACATTAAAACTTGATGATCCACTACAACTTTGCACAGGAAAAACTATTAACAGTCTAACTCACCGAAAGATATGAAGGCATGATGATTCCGTACATTTTGGTACAGAAAAAAACCATTAAAAATCTAAACCAATACACGCCCTTAGAGCATGATGATCCACTACAACTTTGCACAGGAAAAACTATTAACAGTCTAAATCACCGAAAGATATGAAGGCATGATGATTCCGTACATTTTGGTACAGAAAAAAACCATTAAAAAATCTAAACCAATACACGCCCTTAGAGCATGATTATCCACCACAGTTTCTTACAAGAAAAACAAAATGTTAACAGTCTAAACCACTGATGGACATTAGTTTATGATGATCTACTACAGCGTCGTACAGGTAAAATTATTAACAGTCTAAACCACTGAAACACATTTGGAACGTGATAATCCCATATAGCTTCGCATCAATCTAAACCCCTGAAAAACGTTAATCAGAAACATTTTAGCAACATTAACACAGTAGCTTAATTTACTAAGCTGTTTATTAATAATTCTATTATCAAATATTTTCCAGAATAATTCATATTTACATGAAAGTTGTTGGAAATCCAGTGTAATATACCTTGATCTTCTCTTGGAGTCGTTTTCACTAAAAGTAGACAGGATATAAAAGAAACACTTACCGAAACGTTGGATTAAATATGCTTGCCAAATCAAGTTAGATTTAATTTGAATGCACGTCCCGCTTAGATGATTCTCATTAGTTGTTTCGAACGTAATATCAGTAATACACATTTTGTGAATATTTGTTAAGCAGGATGTACAGTACAGAGCGTGGCCTACCGGTCAGCATGCTGGATTGTGAATCCCATAGTCCCAAGTTCGTGTCCCGTCGTCGCAAAATTGCGCCAATACTTTAGGCCGTGGGTACGTTATACGATTGAGAGTCAAAGTCCATTGTTCAGTCAGTCAAGAGTAGTCCAAGTGAGTGTTGTATATTAGCTACCTTTTATCTAGTGTAACAGTTCCAAATCAGGGACGGCCGGCGCAGATAGACCTTATGCATTTTTGAGAGAATATCCGACAAACGAGAACAAAAGATCAAAACGTAAAATGTTTTCTTTAATATATATATGTACATATGATCATTTTCTTTGAAACCCTATTGAGTTACAACCTTATTTCTATCTAGACGGCCTGTATCCTCACTATTTTCCTGACGTACTTGATGGGGACGAATTTCTTTTGGATGTTTGTGGAAGGTTTATACCTTTACATCCTGGTGGTTAAAACGTTTTCAATCGACTTCATTAAATTTCATCTGTACGCTGCGATTGGATGGGGTAAGCCTGCATGCTGTTTTAAAACACACACGTATATATGGCATAGCAACATGTTCTGAAATGTTTTCACAGCGAGTCGTCATTTCTTGTGCAATTAGTGTTTGGAAACATATAGCCCGGTCATTATTTTTACATATCAAGTATCACGGATGCTTGATATGTACTATCTTTAAAAGACTGTTAACAAGTATTTCGTTAGAATATATTCTGTCAATCCTGATTTTCTTATTAACGTACAAAGAGATAATAGAGTATTAGAAAGGTGTTAAAATTGAACATCATAGAACGACCTTATCTTACATCTTTCCAGTTGCAACAAAGTTCTAGCCCTTACTCTATTATCACTGTATTTTTAGAATATAAAACACTATGTAAAATAATTTGATGTCATTATAGGTCTACCTGCACTTGTAATTCTTATTTGGGCGCCTGTAAAGGCTTACTTCTCCCCGTTGACTGGTGATGTATTCCTTCAACTCGGGTAAGTCACAAAAATGAACTTAAAGAACTGGATTTCTACTGCTACTTATATAATTTTTTCACCACCTGAGATAGACAATGTTATTAGACATGAAATTTACAAAAACTATATTCTGTCAAATAGATGTATATCTGGAAACAAAATCAAAATACTTCTCAGTCAGCTTAAACTAATATAATCACTTAAGAAATATATAAATTTATTGTTAATTGTGTAAGATCTAATTAATATGAAATCAGACACTTAGAAACTGGCAACATCTTTTGATCATTGAAGACTAAAATAGCACACTTGGTAAATACACGCATCTTCCATGTCTGTAAATAAAGAAAACAATACGAGGGCTCTAAGTAGAAATTAAAACGTGAAGTGAACTTCCCTTATGAAATAATTAAAAATAACAACAAATATCTTCAAATTATCTCCTAGCGTACGTTTTCGGAACTTCTAGTTAAAAGCAGAATAAAATGAATTTACATCAGTCTTTATACATTTTCAAAGTACAGTTGCTAAATATAACGATAATTAAACAAATAAAACACAAAACAGTATTATGGGGAGAAACTACAGCAAGAAAACACAACGAAAAAGGTAAAATCAGTAATACGAACATATTACAAATGTGTAATTTAAATGAAGACTGCATGTTGTTCAGTGTTAGAGATTGCTGCTTGATGTGGAGGGTTTCTTTGATCAATAATTCCAGGTCAGTATTAGACTTGTAGATGATAGAGAAATTTGATAGTATAGGTTGATGTCCTGTTTCTTCACTATGTTGGCGTATAGAGGAAACACAGGGGGCTACTCAATTTTTTTTGCGTTTTAATGGAAATTCCCATATGTTCATAGGCTCTGACTTTTAAATGGCGTTTGGTTTTTGCCAATATAGGAGGACTTACAGTCTCCACACGTTTAACTGTTTAACTAAAAGTTACAGCTCTGTTTATGAATCGTTATGAGGCTTAAAACTTCATGCAAGTCATTATACAATTTCACTTATTCAACTAAATGATAAACAGTAGGCCAGTTAAATAAATATATAGTTTTTATGCTAATTAGATATGCAGGTACTCTCATCTAGCGGTGAGAATAACACAGATAGCCAGCCCACTGTGTAGGTTCAGGCTTAACAACAAACAAACAAAACAACTCACCTCATTTATTATATCTTATACACCTGTAATAGTTTCCAGTATAACCTACTTTATTTCAAATGTCACTAAAGACTAGCTTATTTTTAGTCAGTTATGCCGGGGATTTTCTTTAAAGTAAAGAGACATCCGAATATAAAAACTTCAAATATATACATATATATATATATATATATATATATTATTGTTACTCACTCTACAAATTGATATATATATTATTGTTACTTACTCTACAAATTGATATATATATTATTGTTACTTACTCTACAAATTGATATATATATTATTGTTACTTACTCTACAAATTGATATATATATTATAGTTACTTACTCTACAATTTTATTGTAATTTGGTCTTTGTTTGCAAAAAACTATATTAAAATAGCGTTGCTCATCTGATGGGTGTCACAAAATTATGACTTTTTCCTACGTCTAATTTATTGAAATAAAAAAAAACATTATACAATACAGCTCCTAAGTCTTAGTTCTCTAATCCCAAATTAACTAAAAATAAATCAATCTTCTGTATAATAAAACTCAAGACCAAGTTCGAATTGTTAAAGTAACTAAGTGATAGAACTCAGGATGTAATAAGCTAAGGATTCACATCACAGATATCATTAATATTTTAAGATATCTCATCCACTCTTACAGTGTCTAAAGGGCTCTAACGATGCCTTTCATTCAACAAATGATACCAAAACACTAATTCTCACTTTTTGGAAATAAACAAGTAATTTTTAATCTAAAAACATTAACATACCGTTAGAATGCAATGTTCTTCAGTCCTAAAGTATCTTGTTTTCTAACAACATTTGTTTTAGATGCCCATGGCAGAGCAAAGACAATTACGACTATATCTTTATAGTCCCTGTCATCGCTATTCTCATGGTAAGTAGTTCTTAAAATGCTTGCATTAAACATCTACACAAGCGCTAGTAAACAATTACAAAAGGTTTTGTCAAGAAAGCATCACACATACGTTAGATAGCGGAAAGCATTGTTAAGTATCACACACGGGTAAAGCATTGTTAAGGATCACTCATGGGTAAAAAATTATTGAGTATCACACATGAAAGAAATATTGTTGAATACCACACATGGGTATAAAGTTGTTGAATATCTCATACGGTTAAAATTTGTTGAGTGTCACACATGAGGGAAATATTGTTGAATATTACACATGGGTATAAAGTTGTTGAATATCTCATACGGTTAAAATTTGTTGAGTGTCACACATGAGGGAAATATTGTTGAATACCACACATGGGTATAAAGTTGTTGAATATCTCATACGGTTAAAATTTGTTGAGTATCACACATGAGGGAAATATTGTTGAATACCACACATGGGTATAAAGTTGTTGAATATCTCACACGGGTAAAAATTGTTAAGTATCACACATGGGTAAAAAAATTGTCGAGTATCACACACGGGCAGAACATTATCGAGTATCACACATGGGTAAAACATTGATAAGTATCGCACATGGCTGAAAACGTGTACAATATAGCTTGCCCCAATTCATTGTTGTTATTATTTTGTTATAGTATAAACCCTATAGTCAACAACTGCTAAAGAGGTGTTTTCTTCCGTCCAATCGGATAAAATACTCTTTATGTTATTTTACAAAGTAGTATGGTTACAACAAGACCATCTAATTTAACTTAATCAGCTAGACGGTTCAAATCAATACAGTTTCATCTTGCATGCAGTGTAGCTTGAAACTAAGAAATACAAACGAAATAAACATGCATCCCAATAAAAACATCCCTAGTTAATTGTCATAAGTTTCGATCAACGTTAAACGAACACGCTTAATGAAATCCTTGCTTAATTTCTTTCTTTTTTTTTTTTGAGTTACAAACACACTGTTTAGAATTTCCGTAATGAAAATATAGATTTTCAAACAAAGTCCTGGAAATTACCATTTATAAGTCCTTCCTCCTGTTTTTGCTGAAAGAATATTAGAAGGAAATTTTATTTAATTCGTGAAGATAATTACTATACTGGCTTAGAAATCTAAGTCAGAAATATTAGAACACGGTAATGAACTCATCACGCGTTGATACAGTTGACTTCAGTGTTTATTAGATTAATAATAGAGCCAGAATATCTCAAATCCAAAGATGATTTAAAACGGACTGTATTATTCTGTTATCAGTATATAGTTTGTGCTCTACTATAACCTATATTTTCAACAAAAAAAAAATTGAAGAAAAGTACAATATTTACATGATATCAATTGACAAGTATAGAAATTCATGGCTGTTTACCATATTATCAATCGTTTGGATAAGAGAACTCTATCAGATTAGATTAAATCATTCTTATTTTTTCCCTGTTCTATTTCAACATGGTTTGTATATACATATATATCTATATATGCATAAATACTGTTCCCTGTCTCATTTATTACAACTTATTTGTGTAACAATATCTAAAGTAGTACCCAAACAGTGGGTTAAACTGACTTAACCAACTGTATTCTAGATAAACATCTTTTTCTTGGCTCGGATCATGTGGGTATTAATTACCAAGCTGCGAGCAGCCACAACTGTTGAACAGAAACAATACAGGTAATAACTTAGAATCCCAAAATAAGACATAATGAACTCAGAGAGTTAATAAACTGACAGATAACATTTCTAATTTAAACATTTAACTAATTACAATTTTCATGCATAATTGTAGCCCATTGGAACTAGAAAAAAAAACCTTGTAAATATTTCCTATAGTTTGCTGAAATTTTCTATATTTTGTTCTAAGTGATTTATTTTAAGATAGTCAATAATGTTTGAACTCCTAGACAACTTTGTAGAACCCTTACAAATTAAATGTATAACCTGGACAGTTGGTTTTTTAAAAAAATAGTGAAACTGTGAATTATTGTTACTTATCTTGCTGCTGTGCCATCATTATGCTTATAAGTCGTTATTTGTCAATTTACTATTGTATTAGCATAACGTGCTTCCATACACAACTATGAGAAAGTATGTTGTAGCAACAGTAGACTGCTGAAAACCATATCCTCTTTCATGAAGTCTAATCATACTGTATCTGAGATCACTGAATAATGATATTATTTAACCATAAAATGTAACCATTCAAGAAACGCACGATTCATTTTTGTTTGAATTTTGTGAGACGTGTGTTAATAAGCTGATGGGGAATGGAGTGGAGGAGAAAAAAAAATGCAGAACTAGTTTTCATGTGATTCAAGATACTTCTGTTATGTCCATATAAATTTCTACACTTAATTAAGTTTTGACAGTAGCGAGTGCTGAGAAACCTGGTACATCTATTCCACGTTTTCCTTAACTAAAATTGTCTGTCAACTAACTTATAGTATCTTTTTCTTTAATCTAGATTTGACTCACTCAAATGAAAGAAAAAATTTATGCGAAGGGACATTTTTCTGTGTTTATCATAAAATAAAAATATTATTGAAATTACATTTTTCTACAAGTAGAAAGGCAGCAAAGGCTTTGCTAGTACTAATTCCGCTGCTAGGAGTCACTTATGTCCTGGTCATCGTAACACCCAATCACAGAACTGCAAGAATTGTGTTTACTTACCTGCAGGCAACTTTACTCTCGACTCAGGTACGTAGCACAGTGCTTTTACTATCGATAAATTATGTTGCATGATGGACTATTAGTGCTATGCCTACTGAAGGGATCGAATTCCGAATTTTAGCGTCATAAGGTCTCAAACTTACCGGTGTGCAAGCACTTAATTATCGATTTTCTGCACATAGAAATAAACATTGTATATATATATACATATATATACTTTTATTAATCGGGAAAAGCGGCATCTTTTTTTTTATCCACTCACGTAATTTCAACAGAGAAAAAGTACATAAGAAGAGGCTCTTAACATGGTTGAATTATTGCTATTGGAACGTGAGGTGTTAGGTAAACTGTTCAATATTACTAAAACCTTATTTCGTATTTTACACGTTCTAACTCTCAACTGCTATGAATAAAGTCGTTAATCTATTTCACCGTGCTATTGAAGTTTGGAAGAGTGAGGCTTTTTTAAATTACTTACAACCAAAGTTTCGTTGTTTATCTTTCTGAAAGAGTAGGATAGTTAGAAATTAACCCAAATTTCTGGAACGCTGCTATACCGAAAAAAATTGATGATTTACCCTGGTAATCCATAATTTTTTGCTTTGCTTAATTATTGACCCCTCTATATATATACATATATGAGTGTGTGTGTGTGTGTGTACGAAATAAAAATTATAATTTTATATTATTCAGGATCAATATCATCTAATTCGCTTTTTATTTGTATCGTTTGAGATTTGAACTATGGACTGTCATTGTACATTTTATTAAAAACACGAATATTATTTTCCTGTCTACAATACGGTATTTATAATTCAAAATATTACACTATATATTATCACTAATAAATGTTTATTTGTAAAGAGCAGTGCTGATTACTGCTATTTAATTTAATTTTATTACATTTCAGGGCCTTACAGTAGCCATTCTGTACTGTTTCTTCAATGGAGAGGTAAGCACGTAAATGAGTTAATTCTCTTATCTTATAATAAATGGAAGAGTAAAAATAATTTCAAAACAACCAATCCTGATCGATTAAGAGCGTTCTGATTCTTGTGTCAGGAGGCTGTCTTAAAATAAAGCTTACGTTTAGGAGTCTATCATTTTAATCTAGTTTAAAAAAAAAAACAAGATGTCTTGTTTTATTAGGTGCGAAACTCACTTCGTCATCACATGGAACGCTGGAAAATGGTTCGGACACTAGGGGGCGCTCCTCGTCATTCCATCAGTTCCCGACCGTCCCAACATGGTGAAGTCCTAAATTCTTATACTAGCCGAAGATCTCGTGGTAGAGGGAGCTGCATTAGTTTCACTACTACCACGTCTTTCATTAGTGGCAGTAACCACAATACACACAGTGGGCACAACAAGCACAATGAGACGTCATTCGCCATGCTTACAACAAAACCGGATGCGATTTGAAACCGATATTTTTGGACGTGAAGAAGGACAGTAACAACGGATGTGTTGCTCGTTAAACAAACAACAACAACAAAGAAAAACATTTCAGCACCAACAGATATGAGCTTTGATTTGAAGAAATGGACTGGGACTTTTCTTGACTTTAACCATACGTAGATTAATTGTTCAACCTGTCAGTATAGAGTTTCGGAAAAATTAAACACATTATTAGTCTCGTGCTCTATTATAACGTTTTTTTTTTTTGTATATGTGTCAAGCATTCTTTAGTATTCTACGCTGTTTTAAAGATTTGGTATAAATTTACTGAATGTTGTGGATAATTGCGAACAAATTTACTTTCTCGTTACTTATATCCAAATGAGATAATGTAATTATCTATGTGCGTGTGTTGTGGTACATTTTTATCTTAACACACGCAGTGCTTCGGAAATCAAATTAGAAGGAGTAGTTATCACAACTTCACGTAATGATGTAAATTAAGGTATTGTCATAATTGGTGTATTTATTTTTATCTACATACGTAGTTAATCCTACACTACATTCGAAGAAAATTTAGTGAATATTCTGGTTGTAGAAGAAAAAAAACTTATAATAAAATTGGAAACAGTAACAAATTCGTGGTCATATTACTATTATTCTGCTTGATGAAGTCGAAAACCCTCCGCATCAGAGGAAAGAAACGGTTTAATTCGTCTTTCACGCACGTTAGCGTTGGTCTGCCCTTTCTCCCGTCACCCCCTCCCCAGCTCTTGTAGGGATTTATCTAAACGATCTTAACCGCTTTGTTAGCGTTAATGCTAGCTTTATAAGAGGAGTTAGTTTGTTAATTTTTTGCATCATGCGCTCAGAATACTTTGTATTACATCCACACAATTACACTAACTAACCAGATTATTAACGTAAAGGTCAACACTTTATTCTCTATCTTTCCACCCAAAAAATAAAACATAACCAATTTAAATCCAGATGCAAGAGTTGAGAGTCAAGTTGTAAAGATTCTTGTATAAAAACGTGATTGATATTAATAAACAAAGTTAAACTACGTAGCTAGATCCCTTACTTTTCTGAAGTTCCAAAATAGAGTTTTGTATAAACAAACCACAATGTGGCCACACACAAAAAAATACTAGACCAAGTGGTCCTTATCGATTAAGTTTCGGTCTCGGTTTTATTTTACTTCCCTGTATAAGTGAAGCCGACCTTCTATTAAGGGCACAAAATTAATTTAACCATAAAAATAAACTTAAACAGGGTAGAAGGTTAATGCAAAATTAGCTCCAATTTTAACTCCAATATCTAAATAATTTATACACAAACTTTCTTTTTTTGAACTTTACTTTTGGCTTAAATATAATTTTATTTTGGCACACATTTCTATACATATAGCTAGAAATTAGCCCACGCTGCTTTACTGAGCATTTTTTGAAAACTTGCTTGCTCTTTTAATTCGTATTTTTGCTTTGTTTTCTTTTTAAGCTATAAAGATTAACAAGTAAAGAAAAATTCTCAAAATGGGAAGTCAATGTAGGGATGGCATTTGCATCATCCCTACAAAATAGTGTAGTAGAATGTCAATAGACAAAAATGGGATAAATGAAACTCAATTGTGTTTGAATAGTTATATATATTGCTATATGTTAAATTTTGTCTGTGCTATTATGTAGGGATAATGCAAATGTCATCCTTACTATCTTGTTTGCATTGTTTTTGAAGGATTGATATTAGCCATCCCTACATTTACTTTCTTTTTGAAAAGTTTTTCCTTTACTCGTTTGCTTGTTTTGTTTAATAGATATAGATATAGAAGGATTGTATTTATAACCAAGTTCTAAGTACAATGAGGTAACTATAATGTTTATTGTTTATCTATTATTGGCTGGTAATTTTTGTTTCAATCCGTACATAAGCTTTTTAAAAGAATAACCAAATTTCTCTAAGAAAGCTAACTTTATGGGATAATGATAACATCATTTACACTAGAATTATGATTTTTTTAAGTTACTACTAGTTAATAATGCTTATAAATGCGTTTGATACTCTGTCTCCTCAGAGAAATTGGTTAACACCATTGTTTCGGTTTTTAGTTATCATGTAATAAAAAAAGAAACAGAAGAAAGAAGAACAAAAAATTCAAACTTTTTGCTATGATATTTACAGATATTCCCAGAACTTGTGACTCAGTCATTACATAAATATTGTTATAAAAGGAAACACTCTATAGTATTGTAAAATCCTGATGACCTATTGAGGAGATATTTAAAATACCATTTCGATTAACAATCCGAGCTATCCCTACATAGGCAGTGCTACCGCCTGCCTGATATATATAAGCAAAGCAGATCAGTTATTTTAATAAAAAAAATCCTATAATAGGACTGGATGTCATTTAATGGTTAGCATAAACGAATGGGAATAACGGAGTCTGGGTTCTAAACATAATGCCGTTGGATAAGCTCCACACTTTCAGTTGTGGGAGCGCTATAAAAGTGACAGCCAATCCCATTATTCAGTTCAAAGAGTCGGGCATAAAAACGGGTGCTTCTTTCTGTTTCTCTCATGTATAGAGAGTAGTTCACGATTAGGAAGGTCTTTAACCTGGCTGTTTAGGTGCTGTTCAAGTATAAAATTCCATTATCTTCTATTATCATACAAAGTGAACATTTTTCAGATAAAAACTAATAATATGTATTCACATACTCTTAGAACTGGCAGGTCTGTGATATTGTTTTCGTGGCGCCTTCACGAGCTATAACATGTGCTGCGGCTTACGTATTTGTCAAAGCTGGGATACGTAATACATTATAACATTCTACAAGTATAGGCTACACGTTTAAAGGTCATAGCTTATTTAACGTTTGCGTGAAAGGAATCGGAATTTTATTTTCAATGTATAATTTAAAAATTTTAAATAGAAAGAGAGAGGACAAATTGTTTTAATTACAGAAGTAATTTTAAATAATTTCGTTACGAATTCTATCGTTAAAACGTTTAACAAATTGCTATTAACAGAAAAATAAGACACAATAACACCCAATCAAAATATTTCTCGGAACAACAAGCAAGTGGGGAATTTATTGAAACATCAAGATTTGTTTGTTTAGAATTTTTGTCCAAAGCTACACAGGCGCCGTATGCGCATATCTGTCCATAATTTTGAATTTATCGACTAGGTTGAAGGTAGCTAGTCAACATTACCAATGGTCAACTCTGAAGCTACTCTTATCTGACCAGAGAGTGAGATTTGACCGTTCTTCTCATAGTGCACTCACGGCCTGAAAGTGCGGATCGCGTTTCCGTGGCAACAAGAACTCTTGGATTTATAGTTGTAGCACGCTAAGCTCTGAAATACGGCAGCTCTTTGAACTAACAGCAATAAAAAGAGAAGACTGGAGGAATAGAAATAGACATGTTTAACTCATTTTTGGCCGTACAGTAACACATTAGTAACTATTTTAATATGAGGCAACTCTTTGAACTAATAGCAACAACAGAAAGAAGACTGGAGGATCAGAAATATAAGTCAGGAGTTTATTATATAAGAATAGCCCTGAAGTACCTGAAAATGAGCAAAAGTTGATAAAAAGTCACAAAGATTGCTCTAAAAGTAATGCTTTATCTTCGTCAAAAGTGAAAAAAAGAAATTCCCTTTATATGGTATATATAAACATACATATTTAAACACGATAAAACACCTTGTAATTTGTAATTCCAACCTTAAAATGCTGCCCGTGTGCTAAACAGCCATATCTGAGTTCTCTAACTTGATAAACAAGTAAGCTATGGTATTCCATACAAATATAAGGTGATTTAGCAAATAGGAAACCATCTACATTTACGCATAAGTTTACAAAAGCAAAACGTCTTGAAAAGCACAAGTCAAAACATCGTTGATAAGAGCACGACATTAGAATCGTTATAAGGTTCGAACCGGCATGATTTAATACATTAAAGATAAGAAGACGGACAGATTAATAGCTGCAGTAATAACATTAGGATGTTTATAAAATGCGCTTGTTAAATTATCCAGCCATCGAAGTGTACGTTTGAGGTGCTGTAGATAAAAGAAGACAAATGGACCTTGTAACTGCGACGTTTACCACCACCTAAAGACAGAAACGTGACTATTATATGAACGTAGAAAATAGCCTTAAAAGACTCACTGAATAAAACCAAACTAGTAACTGAAAATACATCGCTGCTACAATTGTGTATAATCCCTAGGAAACTACTGTTGCGAAGCAAAAACAACAACAACGTTGATAGTCGGCTAATTTAAAAATAAGCCTAGACAGGGTTAAATATTCTTGTTCCGTTATAATCTTGTAGTTAAATGATCGTCCCATAAGGATCCTATAATTACGTTTATAGTTCTAAATAATAATAATAAAAAACTTCAAATGAAGTCGTAATTACAACAGAAGATAACAGAATATCTTTCGATAGTTCATCGTGTGAGGGTTGGCTCTGTGGCAGAACTGTAATTTTCGGATAAGATCAGCCTCGTTCTAATCCATGCACATCAACAAATATTCCCCTTCCCACTTTAAGTTATGGGTGTGTTATATGAGTAACAGTCAATCCCTTAGTGCGGATGATGGGTGGTAGTGTAATGCTGTTTGATTTCCTTCTTGTCAGTAGTTCAAATTTAGGGACAACGGCAAATACCCTATGTAGCTTTGCCATAAAGATAAAATATAGTCACAATATATGTGCGATATTTCACTATCAATTAATCGGTGTTTAATGTACTTATCGTA